TGTAATTTGTAATTTTGTAATTTTATTAAGGATCCCCATTAGCTGTTGCCATGGCAAACAGCTAGTCTTCCTGGGGTCCACATTAAAAACATACAGTAAAAACAGTTACAAATATAAAAATTTCCAAAAATGTAATTTCTTAAAATTACTATAGGAAGTACAAAAGAACAAGTAAAATAAAACAGCCGATTCATCGGCCGATTACATCATAGAGCAGCGCGAAAGTCTGTTCAGATTGGAACATTATGCAGCCGACAAATGCAGCCCTATTTTTGCCTGTTTTGAATGACTGGTCTGCTGTATCCTCCATAGTCTAGGGTATTCATGGCACTCTGTGCTCAGAGGAAAAACAGAAATGGCGACAAACGGTGGTGAATATTGGAAGTGCATTGAGAATAGTTCCATCTGAAATGAATGGAAATAGTTGTTTTAATGGTTGTTGAGTCAGATATGTGGCGGTAATGTTTGGTTTATTGAAAGGTTTTATCTGTCCCTGTATAAATGTGTTTGGCTGATATTTAAGCTCAGATTCTAATATCTCTGCAGGGTGGGGACTATAAATCTGATATCTGAGATGACGGTACTGCTGCTGAAGCTCCTCAGGAATGTAAAGAACAGTAGTGAGAAGTTCAGCATCTATTCTTTGCCTGCTTTAAGAATCTATTTTTCCTGCCTCATTTCCACAGCCTTTGAATTACCCAGTCCATTTAGACCGGCTCCTTGGTGGATGCAGCCATCTTCACTGACATCATCCACACTTCACTAAAGCTGCAGAGTTAAGGATTCCTCACCAGTATAACATATGAAGGCTTTCTTGTGAGCACAGCTCCAGTCCTCCCATTTCCCACCATTTCCAAAGTTTGCAACAGCACAATCCTCATTATGGTAATTGTTATTGGGTTCATTGCCACTCCAGAACCTGAATGAGGAGTTTGTTCCATCCACCCACTTCCAGGTATCTCTATACAGACCGATCCAGACTTTAGCTCCTGCTGGTACCAACTGGTGGATCTTGTGGTTCTCTAACTCGTTCCTCACACTGGCGAGGTCTGAGTGATGTTCTCTGCAGTAGCTCTGAGCTGCAGGCCACTGCATGCCAGTGTTGATTCGAACGAAGGTCACATTTGTCCCTAAAATTAGACCATTTAAGGATTGATCCTAGGGTTATAGAAACTATTTCAAATTTTTTTATGGTATGAATGTACTGAAGATAACTATCAATAAAAAAGATAATCATTATCTAAAGATACTGATGCAAAAGTAAAAATAATAATCATGTTTACCTGTCACATTAAAGCAGATTGGTTCTAAGGTTTCTGTACAAGGTACATCCTGCCAGACTCCAGTACTGGTCATTACCCCACAGGACTCTTTACCCCATTTATTGTTTGGTTCTCCTGTTGCCCACTTCCTGAACTCCTTCTCCTCATGTTGGTAGAAGTTTGAATCTGACATGGACCACCTCCAGCTGTTCAAATCGTTATATAATCCAATCCAGGTGTCCTGGAAACAAGAAGTTTCACATACATCTTATAGTATATCCCAATTGAAGGTCTGCATTGGTCAAAAGTTGAAGTTGTCCTGTTTGTGATTTAAAATTGAACTCAAAATCAAGTGTTTGGTGGGTATTCAGCCCATAAAAATCACTATAATCCCAAAATCTAAAAAAGATAAATAAATGAAGCTGCTGTTGAGACGTATGGTGTTTACTTTCTGTTTCGACTGCTGAGCTGAGCCTAGGTTAGCGCTAGCTTAG